ATTGATCAATAACAAGAAACAACAATCAACAAGAATCAAGAGAGAATCAAAGAGAAAGCATCAAACCTCAAGTTTGAGCATTTTCAAGCCTATTTCATTCAATATTCATTTTTGCTTTCAAGAACACTTATTGTGCTCAATTGTATTATTCTTGAGTGTTCTTTCTTTGTTCTAGAATTGTGCAAACATCTTGCCTTGTGAGGATTTTCTTGTAAGTTTGCAAAATTTGTATTATTCTCTTTAGGAGAGAGTGTTCTAAAGAATTTGGGGTATAATTCTTGAGGGATTTGTAAGGTTACTCTTTGTCCTCAAAAGAAAGACAAATTAGTGAATTTGTGGAAAATACTTAGTGTGGATAGCTAAGGTAGTGGACGTAGACTTTGGTTGAGAAAGTCGAACCACTCTAAATCGCTTTGCAAATCTTTTCAATTTTCTACAAAGTTTCCACCGAAATTTTTATTTTCCAATTCACCCCCCTCTTGCCCAACTCCATCGATCGATTAACTCAACACCCTGGCACTACTTGGCAGGTGCTGCAGATGTCTCTGACAAGCATAAACCAAAGTCTCAATCTGCAAGCATGACAAAGCCTTTGAACTTCCTAAATCATCCTTGATTCTTAGATCATATGTGGGCTCAGGTGACTGCACTGTCGATAAAGAAGATGTCTCCACAACAGGATCTAGGTGATGAGGGTCAATAGATAATTTTGGAGGGTGGTAGTTAGTGAAAGTGTTGACATTAACAACAACATTCTTGGATTAATAATGGTTCATCCTCCATTTGGTATCATATAAGTGATTGTTCTCCTTCTCAACTCTTATGGAAGCTACATTTGATTTTGAAGAAGTCTCTGTTTCAGATTCAGCTCCTCCCAAATTTTGTTCTATCCATGTAGAGGTAAGACTTCGGACTTTGGTATTGATTTAACCATTGGATGCGTACCCTTTAGACTCACATATGCTGAATTTTTCAGCACCACAACTGAGAAATTTGTCACCACTGCTATGATGTACCCAATGCTGAAGCTCTAACGTTTTCTCAAACATTTTATGCCCTTTGCAGCGAAGTATCATAACACCATTGTTGGGGCCACTCTTTACAGTTTCGGCATAACCTTTAAGTGGTGCATCAGTGCTTTCCACCTCAGTTTTGGTCATAAAGCAAACTTCTTCAAGTGTATAAACAAGGTAAATGTTCTTACCATAAGCATCATCAATTATAGTAGCCTTTATATCGTTTCTCGTTGCTTGTTTTTGCTTATCTTATGTTTTTGTAAGATCTTGACAATCAAAGAGACTGGATGATTCAATGATGAATGGATCAGCTTCTTTTGCTTGCATTTTATCGAACACCTGAGTTACATTACCACAACCCCTTTGCTTTTGTTTTGCTCACTCTTTGTACTAGCCAAAATCTGAAAGATTTGCTCCACCGATCTCTGGGTTGTGTCCATTTTCATCTCCAAATTAGTTATGCGAGCATTCTGTGCCTCCCACCATTTGGGAGGAGTTGATTTAATTGTTGTATACTTTATCATCTTGTCAGATCATCAAGTTGCCTCTTAATCACATAAAGATTAATGGAGTCTGCCATGCTTTGGTTCATTGCTTCAAGCTGCCAGGAACTGATGGCTCTAGATACCAATTTGTTATAACCTTGCGAGAAAAGAAGAGTAATCGAAGAAAATAGAGGAAATGGAGATTAAAGAAGAGAAGAAAGGGGATTCAAGAAAACTGAGATTTCATTCATTTCAATCCTAAGGTAAGTCTTGCCCAGTACATTGTTTTATATCTTAACATTGTACCAACCCTATCCCATTTACTAGCTAGCAATACAGCTGTATCTAACATTTTGATTCCCTTGCAAGTGTTGTTGGGTACTGCTGGCGTAACTCCCTTCACTGCTGGCAGTACCAATCTCCTCAATTGAAATCCCTAACCCCATTTCTAATTCTCCCTCGTTTTCTCCAATTTCTGTATCTCTTAGGATCATGATAGAAGCATGTGGGTTTCACATGAAGGGTAAACCAACACATTCAAGCGTCCAAAGGAACTTAGAAACCACCTGCACTGCACAAAACTACATATATTACTAATGCAAATAAATATGTAAAATTAAGAGTAAACGATATAAATATTTCAAAAAATCAAGTAAATTATGAAATTAAAATTTATGAAAACATAAAACATTTTAAATATTTTCGTGATAATATAAATATACGTATAGTTAAACCTCAATATTTTGAATTTTAATTTATTTGTTGTGAGGCAAATATGTTTGAAATTGGCAAGCAACCTGGTATGCAGCCCTTAGGGTTGTGTTGAAGGTCGTGGATACATGAAGGGCCCAGTGGAACATGGCTCAGTGGTCACTGCCTTTCCTTTTCATGGCTCATCAACCCTAACCCACTTCCCATACCCAGAAATAAATTAAAAGAAAATAGAATCTTGAATTTGGGGGCTCCAGATGTTGATTGGTGTTAATGACTTTTGGAGTGTTAAATTTTGATTTTGAATCATTGTACAATAACAGGATTTCTTCGTTTTGGTTTTGTCTTTATAAGAAAAATTAATATAACAATGCCTTTTTTTTCAGTTCATGAAAACGCGTGGCCAAGTTACCAAGACATATATAATTTTTCTAAAAAGAACAATTAAATTATAAATCATAAATCTTAAAAAAAACATTGAAATAAAATAAAAATAATAATAATAATTTTTATCTGACATATCGAGCTTTTTATTACACGAGCGTGATGTCTGGGAGAAGTATGTTTACATGTTTTGCAGTGGATGAAGAAACCACCACAGTTTTTCAAAGGTTGGGTCTTATTGCTCAGCATCTTGCCTTGATTTTAACAAACATCAGCATTTGTAAATATCCATAACCAGTCAGAGATTGCAGCCATGGCATTGCTCTCTGTTTCTGAAACAAAAGTCAATCCCACGAGTAAAAAATCAAATGAAATTATCTGCATGCAGGTTAGTATATGAAAACAACAGCTAATTAGACTGCATTGATGCAGTAGGGTAATTTCCAGGAAACTTCAGCTAAGCACATCATCTTTCCTTTTCACCCAACATTTAATTAATTAGCTTTCTTTTTATTTGCATATAAAACTGGAGCAATGTCTCTCTTAACCATCAAACGGGGCCTAATTCGTAGCCCTTTTGTGGTCTTGTTTGCCTAAATCCTTAATACAGCCCGTAAATAAAGGGTTGCAAAATAAACATTAAAAAAATAAACTATTAGGCCCAAATTGCACCCAAATAATTTTTAGAGTAAAGTACATAAATGTTCCTCAAATTATAGGGTATTACTTTGTTGAGTATCTTGACTATTAAAAGTTACAAAATAGTCACCTAACAATTCATATTTCCAAACTAATCATATTTCGTTAAAAACTTGGCCGCCGTTTGAGATGGATGTTAATTTGTTGATTGAGATATGATAAAATCCGATCCCATAATCATTTTAGCTATATTTTATGGATATAATTTTTGTTTACATTATGTGATCGAATTAGTGCTTGAAACATTATGTTGGCGAGCCAGTGCTTGAAAGCAACGACGGTATCAGTAGATATCATTAAAATATAATTTTATCATATCTTATTGAGAAAATTAATGTCCAACACAAACGGACGTCAATTTTCTAATGGAAAAGGACGACTTTCAAACATATAAATAGTCAGTGACCATTTTATAACTTTTAATAATCAGGTGACTCAACGAAACAACATCTTATAATCAAAGTATCGTTTCATAACTTTTAATAATTATAAGACTCAACAAAGTAACGTCTTATAGTTGATATACCATTTGTATACTTTACTCTAATTTTTTATTTTATACTTAGTTATAGTAATATATCCCAATTAATCGAGTTTTAAAGGTTGAGTTTTATTAGAAATAACGCTTTGAATTTCGTTTGATTTGATTTAAAAAATTTATTGTATGATAATCTTGATAGAATAAAATAAAATAAAATCAAGCGAAAAACATAAATTTTTAATGGTCTAAAGTTATGTGATACGTGTATTTTTTTATAATCTTCTTATAATATTATCACCGATCAAAACAAAATTTTCTCTTCCGTTTATATTTTTTCTGTTAATAGTTTTTCATATATATATATATATATATATATATCTTATTTTTAAATTTTGATTGATTGCTTACATCATGATTTGATTAAACTTATTCATTGAAGAATATAATTAGTTAAGACGTGTGCAACCTTTTTTATGAGGAAGAAGATTACTTATTACCTAATCATCCGTATAAATTGTTTTAATTGATAAACATTTTGTCAGTAATAGAAATTTAAAGTAGCTTTTTATCGTGTAAATAGGAATAGTCGAAATCCTGCTCGTCTGAATTAATGTATTCGGACAACTTTTAAATTATGATCTAATCCGCATTATTATTATTTGGATCTATCTCTTTATTTCCTTACAATTCTTTAGGTAAAATCCAATTACTCTACTGGGATTTGCCAAAGGATTATATATATATATATATATATATATATATATATAATGAGTCTAGAGCGTACGTCGTGCACTAAAATTAATTTTTTTAATTATCTAGTTTAAAATTTAATAAGAATATAATCAAATTATATTTTTTATTAAAAATTATAATTGTTTTTTTTAAAATTATTTGTTTAGGATTGAAACACTTAATTTATAAAAGCTTACAAAATTATCACAACAACCGCCATCAAAACCAATAACCAACGACCCTATTCATCATCGAAATATCGTGTTCTAAAAATATATATAATCGTCGGAGAACTATATCCTAAAACTGATACAAAACCTAAACAAATATTTTGCACATTTGGAGTGCGCGGAGAAATGATGCAAATTTGGTGCGTGAAATCAAAGATATTAGGATGCATCTAGTGGGAACTTCGATTGGGAAGGAATATATGAATATTAAACTTTATATAGATTGATTATTTTGTTTTATAGGTGAGTTGTTCATGTTTTTTTTCTCTTCGAGGACATCTGATAAAATTGAAACGATATAGAAAAGATTAGCATAACCATTGCGTAAGGATGATACATACAAATTGAGATTGCTGTTTTTTTGGATAATGACAACTCATCATTTATCTCGTTTTTTTTTTCTTTTTGTGAATTCGTCTTCCCTAAATAATTAAAAATACAAATGTAATGGAAGTATTAATTATATATTTTATACGTTAGATACAAATGTAATAGAAGTATTATAATTCACTATTCAAATACGTAATTAACCCTATTTGGGGATGTTAGTACGTGAAGGAAGCTTCACATTGCTACTAATGTCCTCCATAGGGAATGGCCATTTCCCCAATTGGATGTATTAAAGGAGAGGATACTCTATACCATTTGCAATAGAATGATAATTCTTGTTTTATAAAAAAAGTTTGAATTTTAAAAATATATATTAAAATAAATAATCTTAAAATTCAGAATATATATTATAAAATAAACATAGAGAAACGTCACGAAAAAGATAAATCTTTGTAAAACCATAATGAACAATGAAGCCTAAAACAAAAGCATGATCTCATGCAATTTGCAATAGTTTTGTCGGCATTGTTTTAGGGTTTTAATCATGTTTTTAATGGGTTAACCTAATTTCACAAAGAAACCAACTCCCACAATCATGATGATTGAAGCTGAACGTCGAAACTTATATTATCATTTGAAATTATAAGAGATAGTGGAGATCCCGCCCCCCAATCTCCATAATCATAATAAGAAAGTGAAAAACAGCCCACCAGTATCTTTAAATTTTAAAAAAATAGATAAAGTGAAAATTAATAAAAATAGTTGAAATTTTGGTAGGTTAAAGGGTGGCGATGTGCTGACCAAGCATTCTCTTGATGTGTTTCATATTGCCACGTGAATTGTGGGATTTTTCATAGCTCTATGAGAGGGACAAACCCACGGAGAGTAAATTGCCTTTTTTTTTTTGTTATACTCCTAGAATATGTAATGCATTAAATATAACTTTTATAAATAATTTCGTGGGAGTAATAGATTTTTTTATTTATAAAATCAATTAGTTTTATTAAAGATAAAAAAATTTCAAATTACGATGAAGATGTATAGTGATTAACTATAATAAATAAACATATAATGGAAACATTTTTTATAACCATTATAAAATTATTTTTAATAAATGATGGAATTTGATGGGTTATATCAATTCTTTTTATTAGTAATGATAGTCATCCACCAAACCACCCAAGAAAAATATCATTCATTCTATTCCCTTTACAAACTCAACCGATAGAGTACAGAAAAAGATAAGGAAAAGGGTTTAAGCTTAATGGGTCTTGATGATGCATGTAATACACGCCTTGTTCTAGGGCTAGACTCCCCATCGTCCCCAGAAACTCCACCCAAGACCAACGATCAAACGTCCACGAAGCCATCAGCCATGCCGGCTCCGGTGACGAGTTTTGAACCATTCCTTTCGCTTGGTCTTTCCGGTGAGAACCACCGAGTTACAGTCACCAAAAAGATTGACGTGAACAAAGGTGGTTATCTTGATCATCAAGTCCACCGTGAAAAACCACCCACCTCCGCCGTCGCTGGTGATTTATATCGTCCAGCTTCTCCTGATCCTAGTGCCGTTTCGTCGTTTTCTAGTGGTATGGTCAAGAGGAATAGAGACCTTAGCAGCGAAGAAGTAGAGTTAGAGAAGAATTCATGTAGAGTTAGCGATGAAGACGAAGATGGCGTCAATGCAAGAAAGAAACTTAGGCTCACCAAAGAACAATCGGCTCTTCTCGAGGAAAGCTTTAAACAACACAGCACCCTCAACCCAGTACGGCTCTATCAGAATTCACTGTTTCTCATATATTTATCGCTGTATCAGCTTTCGATTAATTAATCTCTTTTTTGTTTTATAAAAACAGAATCAAAAGCAAGCTTTAGCAAGACAAGTAGACTTGAAAGCGAGACAAGTTGAAGTCTGGTTTCAAAACAGAAGAGCCAGGTAATTATAACCTAAGATAATAAAGTTTTTTCCTTTCTAAGCTTTAATTATCTGAAAAAATGATGAACTTGACATTGAACATTACAGGACGAAGCTTAAGCAGACGGAGGTGGATTGTGAGTTCTTGAAGAGGTGTTGCGAGACGCTGACAAATGAAAACAGGAGACTGCAAAAAGAGCTACAAGAACTCAAAGGCTCAAAGCACTGAAAATGACGGTGCAATCCTTTTACACAAACATGCCGGCGGCGACTCTCACGATGTTCCCGTCGTGTGAGAGAACCGGCGGCGATGGGAATCTCAAGAACCTGTTTCCCATTCCTTCAAAGCCTCATTTCTTTAATCCTTCTGCAGCATGTTAATTAATTTAAGTTATTTAGAACTTAACAGCAAAAGAAAGTGAATCAAAAGTAGTGTAATTAATTAAATTTTAGACATCAATAGAATAATTACTGATCAATGTAAATGATAATTAGAAATCTATGAAGGGATTTTGTTGGTAGTAACTATTATATGTATTCCATGTTAGCTAATCTTTTACTATTGATTCTTTTATTCAATATAGTAATGTAATTTATTTTTAATTTTGAGTGTTGGACCGATATATATTTATTTTATTAAGCTAAGGTGATTACAAATCAATATTTGCTCTAAATGCTTTCAACAATTTGATAATGAACGTTAAATCACTCTTGCCGTCGCAGGTGCTCGAACCCATAACCTCTAAAACTACTGATGTAAGTTGATTCATACAAATGGCATATATTCAAGCTTAGTTTCAAACACAAAAGTTGGAAATCTTTTTAGTTGAACACGTTAGTTGAAAATCCACCATGTGTTTACGTAGACGAACCTTCTTCTTACATACTTGTCATAAAATACTTTCTAGTACTTAACAAATTACAAATATTTATAAACAAATGGGCCATCCGAGTTTGATGATTTACCGCTGTTGGTGTCTGGAAATGAGAAAAATAAGAAATTCAAATGAGTTGGTGGGCATAATCAAGTGAGAGGGGGAAAGGGTGTGGGGAAGAATGAGGTTAGCTCACGTTTATGTGTCTTTAGTCAAGTTGTTTTCATTTGAATGAAAGATAATAATAATAATAATAATAACCAATCTCATTTTTTAAAATTTATCGAGTTGATTCGGATTTTATCTTAAAGTTTAGGTAATGATTTTAGATCTAGTAGAATTTCCCTAAATTTAATTCAAATAACAAGTGGAGGAGTGTTATATTCATGTCAAATTTGGATGGACTAAAAATTTGACTCGTTATCATTCATAATAAAAACAAAGGAAAATTAAAATTTAAAGATCAATTTAAGAATAAAAAATTTTAAATACTAACTTGAAAATTGATGTTTAATTCAAATAACAACTTAAAAGTAAAAACTATTTAATTACCGACTGAAAAAGATAATTAATTCAAGTACGAATATATATATTTAAGCCTATGTAAAATAATTGAGTCCACTAGAGCAATTTCCTAGAAAAAATAGTGACTTTCCGGGAAAGCACTCTTTTATTCTCTGCCTGTATTCCTCTTCTTTATCATCACTTTCATCACCTATTTTATTTACCATTGCCATCTTCATCACATACGAATCTTCAAGCCTTTATCAAACTTTCAAACACAAAAATAACTATTCTTTTGACGTTTGCTAGAGTGTTATTATTCGTTATTTTTACTCATTTTGTCTGTTTCAAACTTTGGTGATTATAAAATATATAAATAAGGTTTGTTTTTCTTTTATTCTTTTTCGTAAATTAAGGTTTCTTTTAAAAATAAATATATAATAAAGAAACCCACGTTTCTTTTTGCATTAAACGGCACACCTCCTCTTATTAGGGATGGCTTGATTGCCATTTCTTCCTGCATCAATCAATCTTTCATCGGCCTTTTCAAATAATATATATATATATATATATATATATCTAAATCAAATTATTTATATTTAATTTGGTTGATAATTATAAGTTCAAATAACTATTTAATTTGATTTATAACATGGAAACCAAATAAATGAATCGTGTAACTTTAATATATAGATATCTTTCAACGGTCCATGTTGCTTTCAACAATGACGTGTCCTACTTAAATTAAGATGTAGAAATTGAGAAATCAAACCCAATGATGTCAATGGCATGTGATTTGTTGCCTTTCATTCAGACATTAAAGGATTTGCTTTTCAATTGACATTTCAATTAACATGATTTGTTTTTCAATCAAACATATTCTTAAAAATTAAACAAAAAAAAAACATATTCTTAAAAGGTGTATTAGTGCGTAATATATATATATATATAACTTCTGATATATTCGTATAAATTTCTCACGATTTTTCATATAATTGTGTGAACCATTTAGTATTGATAAATTAAGAGATATCTTTTCGTAATAGATTTCTCATTACACAGACATCCTAAAGTACAATATCGAACATGTTAAGTGTCTGAAATCCATATGTAATAATATAATTCATATATGTATATTTTTTAAAATTTTTATATCTTTTTAAAATTATTGATCATGCAAAAATAGATAGTTTAAATTGACAGAAGAAAATAAAAAAGCATTATAAAAATAATGAAAATAATCACAATATCTATTTCCAATCATAAAACAATTTTAAAAAGAGATAAAACTGAAAATTTACATTATATATAAAGATGGATACTAACTCATATTTGGATTCCAATAAATGTTACTATTGGAAAGGAAAATATTAGGCATGGGCTTTGTGCATATTTAATACTGCAAGGGCTAGTGGCCCAATTCTCGTGTTTATCATCAGTTTTACTATATGCCTAAACCCAACCCACTAACAATTTTGATTTTATTTCTTACCTTTAAAAATAATAACCCATGTACTAATATATATACCTTGGAAGATAGTATACTAATACAAAATATAGCATAAAAAAATGGGAAAGGGAAGCAGATAAAGCTAAAGCACGTATGTAATATAATATACCAAGGTTAGGGTTGATAAGTTAAATTATTGAGGCGTGTGTTTTGAGTTGAAGAGACCAAGCTTTCTAGAGATTGGTGCAAAAGCTTAGAAGCCTTGCAGACAAAGAAGAAAACCATAGCA